ATATCATTGACAGCTGCTTTTTCAATAAAAATGGAACTCGTAAATATACTTACCTTGTCATTGGTCATTTGCAAATTATTTTGTCAAAAAACATTCTGATTGTTCACACAAGTACTCTGAAGTTGACATTAAAAAGATGCTTGAGTTTCTGATTGACAATATCTATGTGGAGACCAGGTCTTCCAACAATCTATTGGAATTCCCATGGGTACCAATTGCGCCCCGTTATTGCTGTGGCCTTCAACTCGACATTTAGATATATCGACGACGTATTGTCAATTAACAATGGCTATTTCCATTCTCATGTCGATACGATATATCCTTGTGAACTTGAGATAAAAGATACCACAGAGTCTGACACATCTGTTTCATATTTGGATATTTTACTTGAAAAAGACGTTAATGGTAATCTAACAACCAAGCTTTATGATAAACGTGATGACCTTAACTTTTCAATCGTCAACTTTCCTTACTTATGCAGCAATATAATACCTTCATCACCTGCATACGGGGTATATATCTCTCAGTTGATTCGATACGCAAGAGCATGCTCTACGTATGTACAATTTCTAAAACGAGGTAAATTATTGACAAATAAGTTGATGAAACAAGAATATCAGCTGTCTCGTTTAAAGGCATCATTTCGTAAGTTCTATGGTCGATACAATGACCTTGTCAGCAAATACAATTTATCATTGAATCAAATGCTGACTGACGATTTCACACTAATTGTTAGGCCATTATTTACACACTGAATTGTCGACGGATTTTCCCGTTATTTCCCGATCATGACAAGGAGCACACGGCGGGTGTGACCGGTCGGCAGGGGATGCTCACTCCTCCATGGCACCTGATCCCACCTCTGATGTTTGGAGGTCTGTGTTTGCTCTGCTCCTATTTTGTATTGATTAATGGACTTTTGAGCTTGAATACTGTTCGTTATCTCCATATATTTCATTCCAACCACACTTGCCACAAAGAATTCGTGGATAAAGGGGATTCAAGTTTGTTCAAATGAAGGGTCATGCTTTCTTTCAAGGAAAGCAGTTCAGAATTAGTGACAATTAAGTGACATCTTTTAAAAATCTTCTCAAGAACAAATGCATCAGATAAGCTGAAACATGTGAAAGCTTCATTATAAAGTGTGGATTCGGTTTTATTCAGATCATGTCCCTCGGGGAAAGGGTGGGGGCTACAATAGGTGATCAAACTTTTTATAGCATATATATAGGAAAATTTCTTTCAAAATCTTCTCAAGAACTACTGTGTAAGAGATGATACTTTTGTGAAAGCTTCATTACATAGTGTACGTTCAATTTTATAGGTGCTGGCACGAAAAAGATCCCTCACTGCTCAATGGCCCCAAGTGTCGAGCATAGGTCTATATTTGCAGCCCACACCGGAAAGTGGTGGCGTCTCAGTTTGAATGAAAAATTCTCGAGAGGGATGTTAAAACAACATGGATGTATCCTCAGGTAGTGTATATTCAAGTGTCTTCAAATCATGACACCCCCTCCCGGTGGGGCCACAATGGGGGATCAATGTTTTACATAGGAATATATAGGAAAATTCTTTAAAACTTTTCTTTTCAAAAACAGCAAAGCAATGATTAGTCATATTTATATGGAAGCATTGCCATGCATTGTCATGGAACATGTATTGATGGACGACAATATGAGCAGTGCGTACCTACGCATTATCCCCGGCGACAATATGAACAGGACGACAAAATGTACCGTCACAATCACGCTGCATGAAGTAGCATTCGAGACACATTAGTGTGATTTACACACCAAAACATTCACAAAACTGCCAAAAAACAACAAAAAAATCTTTAAGGAACAATATCTGTGGGGGCGACAATATGTGCAGTGAGGGTAAGGCACATAATGTCGCCAGCGACAGTATGCACATGCGTAACTTTTCAGCCGGCGACAATATGTACCGATAGACGAAAATATGTGCAGTGAGGGTAGGTACATATTGTCGCCGACGACAACATGAACCGTCACATGGCCTCAACCTACCCTAAGGGTCATTTGAACAAACTTGAATTTACAGTATCATAGGATACTTTCATATAAATATGACTAATCATGGCTTTGTTGTTAAGAAGAATTTCAAAGGTTTTTACCTATATATTCCTATCTAAAAAAAAAAAAAAAAAAAAACTGATCGCCTATTGATGTTCCACTCTACCCCCCAGGGGGGGGGGGGGGCATGATTTGAACAAACATGAATCTACATTATCTGGAGATGATTCCATATAAATATAACTAAACACGGCTCTGTTGTTCTTGAGAAGATTTTAAAGTTTTTCTGATCACATTTTCTCCGTCGTCCGTCCGTCCTCTGTAAACTTTTCACATTTTCGACTTCTTCCTCAGAACCACTTGCCCAATTTCAACCAAACTTGCTACAAAGCATCTTTGGGTGAAGGGAATTAAAGTTTGTTCCAAAGAAGGGCCATACCCTCTTTCAAGGAGAGATTATCAAGAATTAGTGAAAATTTGGTGGCATCTTTTAAAAATCTTTTTATCAAGAACCACAAGGCCAAAAAAGTTGAAATTTAGTCGAAACCTTCATTAGATAGTGTTAATTCAAATTTATTTAAATCATGATCCCCAGAGGCAGGGTGGGGGATAAAAGTTTAACATAGGAATATATGGGGGGAAATCTTTTAAAAATCTTCTCAGGAACAGCAAAGCCATGATTAGTAATATTCATATGGACGCATCCTCAGGTAATGTAGATTCAGATTTGTTAAAATCATGACCCCCGGAGTAGGGTGGGGCCACAATGCGGATCAGAGTTTCACATAGGAATACAAAGGAAAACATCTTTAAAAATCTTTTCCTCAAGAACATCAACGACTTTATTAGATATATTTATTTGGAAGCATCCTCGGGTAATGTAGATTCATGATTGTTCAAATCATAACCACAGGGGGTATGGTGGAGCCACAATGGGAATCAAACATTTACAGAGGAATATATAGTTAAAAAAAATCTTCTTAATGTAAAGGCATGATTAGTCATATTGATATGGAAACATCTTCAGATAGTGTAGATTCGAGTTTGTTCAAATTATGACCCCTGGTTTGGGCCACAAAGGGTGATCAAAGTATATAAAAGAAAAAATCTGCTGATGAAGAACAGCAGAACCATATTGACACAAGTGAGCGTTGTGGCCTACGGGCCTGTTGTGTCCTGTATATTCCTATGTAAAACGTTGATCCTCTATTGTGGTACCACCCTACCCCTTTTGGTCGTGATTCGAACAAAATGAAATCAATACTATGAATGACGCTTTCAAATATTATAAGTTTCATTTTTTCTGGCCAAATAGTTCTTGAGAAGAATTTTAAAAGATGCCACCTAATTTTCAGGAATTCTTAGTTAATTCCCTTCAAAAGAGAACTTGGCTCATCAGTTGAAGAATCTTGAATCCCCTCTTCCCAAGTACACTTTGTGACAAGTTTTGTTGAAATTGGCCCAGTGTTTCTCTATACATGTATTTAAATATTCCATATATTAGTTGGCTTAAAATCTTCAAGCTTGAGTCCTCGTAATGTGTCAACCAAAAAGTATGTCACCATGACCTTCTGGAGAAGTCGAAAATGTGAAAAGGTTACAAACAACACGCTACAGAGAGACAGACAGACGCCGGACACTTTTTTTATCAGAAAAGCTTGGGCTTTCAACTCAGGTAAGCTATAAAAAAAACCCAAAACAATGCAAATTTCTACGCTAAAAATTCAATTTTTGTCTTAAAATGATGTACTAGTATACTACGGTTTTTAAAGCACACAGTTTTAAATTTTCAACAATAGACTGTGTTATTCTTGGTGAAATGCATTCAAAATCAATAGAGACATACTTTGCTAGTTGTTAGCACAGTAATTAACATCAATGTAAATCCAACGCCTCCTCATAATAGACGAGTCTCTGTATGAAAACATCATATCACATGTAATTACAAAAATTTCCATGCACACATATGGTGTCGGCACACCTTTTTACGCGTGCTATTTTAATCTATCAACTTATTACAATATTTTTTTTCAAATACATAAAAAATGTTCTCGAAATACGCAATATAACAGGAGTATATTGTCTTCTTTTCAGGCATTTATCTGCTTATTAGTTTTTAGCCCCCGTGTTCATATTGTTTTATTCTAATGAAGCACCTGGTACCAACATGTTTAAGGACCATCTCTATACACGGCACAGTAAAGAGTTCTAATTCCATGGCATTTTTAAGCATTTAGAGTGATCTGCCCTTAGATTTAAATTACTTTATCTATTTAAATAAGCAACATTGATTTCTGTTCAACAAAAAGAAGTTTTCTTTGAACATTTCAAAAAATTTAAAAAAAAAAATCATTAATGTAGGTACATATAATCAGTGATTATGAAAGAATTATCAGTAGTTGTTCCGTTTGTTATTACCTCGAACACACCAAAAATACACACACTCCTAGAAGACATATTGTTGGTTTGGGTAACTATAGATCTTTTTTGCAATTCTCAATCTATATCAAACTCTGGTTTATTATTTATCAGTGTATGTTATAATAAGCATCCAACGTTGTAAATTGTGATGTGTACCTGTTCCAGATTCTGCCTAACTCTAGTTCATCGTGAGTTTGGATGATACAGTCGTTGTAGTGGGAGGATTTACAAGATAAGTCTAGAATGTTCACCTTCTTGTCCTATGAACTAATGCTCTTATTATCATCCGCTTTTCTCCCACTAAAACAGTACCTAGTATTATACATGTACACGTTCATATAACAATACACCATACTTTATGACGATCATAATGATCTGTCGTGTTTTGTTTATTAACTCTGTCCTCTATCGATTTGTTAATTGGAATATATACGCTAAATCGAAATTCAAAATTAATGATATAATAACAATTTAAATGAAATGAAAGCTAATTTGTTATACACATTTATACTTTAATAATAATAACAAGGAAAGTGTATTGATCTATCTATTTAGTAACCAATAATTCATAAACACGCACAACTCAAATTTCAGGTTAATTATTCTGTAATGAAAGGTTTTTATATCAGAGATATGTTATCGTTAAGTATTGTGATGTATCTCAATAACAGACAGCCAAATTATATCCAAATAAATAGCTGAATTTCATATGATGCTGATGATTTAACTATTCCCAGTATCAACTGTTCATGGAAGAAATCGATTTATTTACAGCAGCACTCTGAAACGTGTAAATTGTATTCCTGGCAGACTAACAGCATTCAAATACAAAATCTGTAAGAAAAAGTTTCCAATTAAGTAAGTAAAAATCAACCTGAAAGTAAATAAAAATCAACTTGTAAGTAAGTAAAAATCAACATGTAAGTAAATAAAATCAACTTTAAGTAAAAATTAACCTGTAAGAAAGTAAAAATGAACTTGTAAGTAGATATCAAGCTGTAAATAGAAGTAAAAATGAACTTGTAAGTAGATATCAACCTATAAGTAAGTAAAAATGAACTTGTAAGTAGATATCAACCTGTAAGTAAAAAAATGAACTTGTAATTAAGTAAAAATCGACCTGTAACTTATAAGTAAGTAAAAATCAACCTGAAAGTAAGTAAAAATCAACCTGTAGTTATTGTGTTCACCAGTGAGAACAGTGGTTCGTCTTCAGGAGTGATATCATTTTGATTGTGTCGCTTTTCTATGTATGGAGAAGAAATAGTCTTTCAATCAATTTAGACCTTGGGTGTAAGGAAAGAGAATAAGAGAGACAAAAATCATTAAAGACTTTTCTTAAAAAAATAAAAGAACTTGTTGACTTTGAAAAAAAAACAGCTAGATTACTACAAAGGGTTAGAAAATCGCAAACAAAATAGTTTCTCGGAAATCAAAATATTGATTACACATATGTGATCTACGAAACAAATGTGAGTATTGATAACTTGAACCTAGTAACAAACTATCAATGATTGATCTTGACAATTCAGGGTCCTAAAATATTGTTTTTATCAAGGATATGATAAACCAGTAATTATAAAGGCTTACAGAACTGGTCACCAGCTGAGATAACTGACATCAGGACATAACTCTGAAGTTCCTCGCTGCAAAACATCTAATATGCCATTTAACGATCCTTAATCCGTGCAGTATTTCTGCAGAACAAATTATTTGTCAATATCATATTGAGAAGTGTCCCTCATAGCAAACAACCAAGATTAAAATCAATATCATACAAAAATAATTCTTTCTTTTAAAAAACAAATTATATAAAAGATGTTTACGATGAATATTCAGATGATAGGAACTGACGATAATCCAGTCGGTCCTTGTTTTGCTGAAGGTTGCATTTACTACGCAGTCAGACTAACTTGCAATTGGTTTAATCACGCACTGGTGTGTATCAAAGATTTTCTGTTCCAGTCTCTACCAGACAAATTACATAATGATCTAACAAATAGATATTGTGAGTGATAATTAAAATTTTTACCTGAAATCTGAAAGGGAAAAGCCATTTGGAACTCCTCTGGAATAGAGGTAAGAAAGCTTCACTGCATTTCTGCTGTTTATTTATAAAGTGATAAATCAAGTTTAGAAATGCAACAACTAAACATAAACGTATAAGTGGCAAAACATTGAGATTTTTTTTACCTTATTAATTCTGAATCTTCTGATAAAAGAAAATCTTAAAATGAAACAGATGTTTGATCATTTACATTTGAAAGCTATCCATATTAAATAGATAATATCATAATCTTAAAACGATATATATATATATATATATATATATATATATATATATATATATATATATATATATATATATATATATATATATATATATATATATATATATATATATATATATATAAAATCAGAGTATTCTAGAACAAAAGTCGTTTTTCACCTTGAATGTCATTCACATGGTTCCTGTAAGGAATAAATCGATATCCCACTGGCGGTAATTCCGATCTGTCTGATTTACACATTAAGTGAATGAAATGATAGGAAACACAAGGAGACAGAGAAAGATTGTTTTGTTCGAAATACTCTGTATCGAGGGTTTTCTTCGGAATACTCTGTGTCGAGGGTTTTCTTCTTCTCACAGGATGCTCTTCTTTGATTGATGTAGAAGTGTCGAATATTGCAAAAATGGCATGTAAACTGGTCGTTATGGTTGCATGCCTATGATTCCAATCAACTACGAAATTCTAGCCCTGTATAAAATGCAATTTTAGTTAAAATAATGAAATTGTAGTCATTCAAAAAAGGGCTAGTATTTCTGTTCATATCTCCTTGAAAAGTGCAAGTTATCCGGACATCCGAGTTTTGGTTGCTTCCGCACCGAACACTAGCTATTGTACAATTGCACTTTTAAACGTTAAAATATAGATGTGTTGAAAATAATGGAATTATAATTTGACAGGGTAAGTAAAATATTTCTTCTGATCAAAGTTTCCTTATTTTAATTATGCCTCTATTTTGAATTCAATCAATAAAACGTCATAATGTAGCCTGGAATTTCGTCCTAATTTTAGGTATTATTACTCATGTCAGTTTGATAATAAAATCACTGTACTCAAGAACAGCATCCCTAACAGTTTATATAACATTTATTTTGTGGTCATTAATATCTGAATAGCTGGCATTCTGGCACCTATCCCTTTGCAAAAGACACGTACATCGTTATGTTTTCTATTTTTTGCATTTTAAGGTACCGTTTAATCTTCTAAAAAAATTGTCAGAAACAGTTATTATTGAAATTTATTATATCATCCAGTCTTGTTCAAGAAGAGTAAAGCGGGATGGACAACTCTGAACAAGATTCCACAGTCCAAAACAAGAGCGCAGTTGGCACAGACTCGGATCACAATGAAGATTCTGTGGAGTCGACACCAACGCGCAAAAACACGGACCGAAGGAGTTTGGTGACCACAACTAGGAATGATTCTACAAAGGGATCTGAACATCCCAGTGTCAAGTACATTCGGCGCAAAGAATCTGGTCAGAGTCCTTTCGTTCGAAGTAGAAAGAGTCTGAGGGACTCTAACCCTAACCAGAGTCCAGGAAGTGATTCCAGGCATCCGAGTTTCAGACGCATGCGCAGTTCCAGTCTTAGTTACCCTCATCATGATTCTGCGGTGTCTGCATTTATCGAAGAGCTTAAGTTACCCCCTACTCTAAAAGCAGAAGAAGGCAAGTTTTCTCTCTTCCGCTTTTTGGCTTACATACAACTAATTTTTGTTAATATTTTTTAATAATAACCTTGTCCTTTTTCAGTTCCATGGTGGACGTCGTGGAGGGTACGCTTTTCTGGCCTCTGCTTCATAGGTTTCTTTTTCCTTTACGCACAAAGAGTCAACCTCAGCATTGCTATCGTCTGTATGATAAAGTCGGAACTCGCGGCAGCCAACATGATATATCAATCAAACATTACGAATATGTCAATCTACGGTATACTTACTGATAACGTCACCCAGAGCAGTGTGATAGAAGGTCCAAGCAGTGTGGCCAAAACATGTCCAGTACCTCCTGCTTCTAAGACATTGGTATGTTTAAAGGACAAAATATTTACACCCAAAACACCTTGTACAATGTCTATATCTTGTGACACATACATGCTTTCCACAAATACATGTACGTGTTAAATACACAAAATTTCTTATATAGTTGCTATGTCATTTTGTTCCTTTTGTTTTTTGTTGCTTTTTTTCAGAAAGGTGAGTTTACCTGGGACAAAGCTCTTCAAGGTGGCATTCTAGGAGCTTTCTTTTGGGGATACACAGTAATGCAGATTCCCTCGGGTGTTCTTTCGGAACGCTTTGGATCTCGCCGTATTATATTTGCAGGGATGACTTTAGTTTCTGTGTTGACTCTCCTGACCCCTGTCCTTGCTCGAGGAAGCCCTTACTTGCTTATAATAACACGTGCCCTCATTGGAATAGGTGAAGTAAGCATAATTATTACTTTTCAGCTAGTAAACTCCTTATCTTACACTAACCAAATAACTACAGAAAAAATATCTTCTATAGGCTACAATGTATCCGGGCGCACAAGTATTTTGGGCAAAATGGTCGCCCCCACATGAACGAAGTAGGCTTGTAGCATTTGCATTTGGAGGTGAGCTTAAAGATTTTAGAAGAATTAAACGAAGAAAGATGTTCTTCAATCTTTGTGGGCTCTGAACTTATAATAAACTTCCTTTTTCAGGGACCCAGCTGGGAAACGCTTTGGCTTTTCCAATATCAAGTCTGCTTTGTGAATATGGTGGCTGGCCATCAATTTTCTATTTTCTAGGTAAGATATAAAACTTTTTCACAAGTAAAAAATAAATTATTATGTGAATATAAGATTTACTTTTCGAACACTCACTATAGTACTTGTATCTCTGTTATGAGGAACAGTCTTTAATGCACTACTACAGTATGCTGTTCTTGTGTAGTGTAGCTTATTTCAAATTCAATGATATATTATATCAGACACTGATTTCCGAAGAAAGGTATTTTAAGGACATAAAAATTCCGTTATAGGATCCTGCTCGTTGGTTTGGTCGTTATTGTGGGGATTCCTTGCTAGGGACAGCCCAGGGGAGATGCCAAATATAACTGACATCGAGAAAAAATATATCGAACACTCGCTTGGAAAAGACAACAATACAGAGCATGCTGATTTAAGAAAAAAGGTTCGACTAGTTCTCTAATTACAGAATAAATCAATCCTAAGACTTAAAGAGGATGACTGCCATTTAAGCTTTTATTCTGTAGGGTAAACCCTGGAAATCCATTTTGACGTCACTGCCAGTCTGGGCTATTCTTGTGACCAATGCAGCAGGAAACTATGGTGCTTACATGCTGTTGACTCAAATGCCTACATACCTAAAAGAAGTTCTCAAGTTCGATATCAAATCTGTAAGAATCGTATTACGTACTTAGTTATAATTACAGGATTATTGCATTTGCAATATGCCTGACGTCACATTAGCTGTATCAGCTTCCATGCATTACGAATCCGTAATGTACGCTTGCTGATACAGCTATTGTGACTGCATAATTAACTATGTAAAGTAAATATTAAGATAAAATATATAGAGAATATTACATACATATACTAAAATCCATATCATATGTCATATCAGCCCGAGTGGCCCCATATCAGCCATCGGGCCGAAGGCCCGAGGGCTGATATGGGGCCCGAGGGCTGATATGACATATGATATGGATTTCAGTATGTAGTATTCTTTTTATCATATATTTAAAATACTTAAGGTTTTGCCAAAGGTCAACATGTCCAAAAATTTATTTTTACAATAGCTCCAAAACTATGTGGTTTATAAAGTTAAAACTTTTACAGTTTATAAATATATCATTGATTAACAGATAGAAAGTATCACTTGATAACAAATACTTAAAAAAATATTTATCGAGAAAAATTCTTTTAAAAAAATGCATATATTTTTTTTAAAAAAAATACACCTAATTAATTCCGCACTTTTAGTGAAAGCCTTCTTTGCAGAAACAATATATGTTTATCAATGAAGGGCAAGTTGGACTTCGATAGCCTCTGGAAAGTTGTTTTCCCTGTTTATTTTGTCCAAATGTTACGATTTGAAACCGAAAGTACATTGCAAATAGCGGATTTTATAGGGGTCTTGTCTTTATACATGTCATGCTTTCAATAACAGCCTTTCAGAGACCATTCACGTCCAACTTGCCCTTCATTGATAAACATATATTATTTCTGCAATGATGGTTTTCACTAAAAGTACAGAATTAAGCAGGTGCATTTTTTAAAAAATATGCAAGTTTTTTGAATTTTTTTTTCTCAAAAAATATATATATTTTTTTAAATATTTGTTTTCAATTGATACTCTCTATCTGTTAATCAATGATATATTTATAAACTGTAAAAGTTTTAACTTTATACCTTACATAGTTTTTGAGATATTGTAGAAATAATTTTTTGGACATCTTGACCTTTGGCAAAACCTTAATATGCGAGTTCACTTAAAGTCATTGAAGAATGTTTCGTGCATGCTTATGACCTTTTTCTTTAAAATCTAATACCGCCAATTTTAGGTCTTTGAAAACAAATTAAGTCCACAAATGTTAGTAAAGAATTATTTTACTTGTATATTTAGATTAAATCAAGTTAATTAACTTTTAAACTTTATACAAACGTTACTTCCGGTTTGATATGGATTTTTGCACGCCGGTCCGATACGTGATATGAAGCATGCTCAGAAGCATGTTGCCGATCAAGGTCGGAAAGCATTTTTTTGCAATTAACTCAAGAATGAATAATTACTACCTAAATATTGAACAAAATGTGCAGTTTTTGATACATATGTAAAAAGTGTTTTGTCATATGAAGCTGAAATATGGGGTTTTCACAAGGCCAAAGATGTTGAAAAAATACATAGTAACTTTTGTAAGAAAGTCTTAGGTGTGAAATTATGTACCCCAAACAATATGGTGTATTATGAATTAGGCAGATTACCTCTGTATCTTTCAAGGAAACTTCAATTTTTGAAATATTGGCTTAAACTTAAAAATACAAATAGCTGTACATTAAAAGCATGTTATGAAGAAAGAGCAATGAATAATGACAAATGGTTTACTGAAATTAAGAATGAATTTGATAAGCTTGGTTTAAGTTATCTCCTGTTCCAAAACTTTGATACTCCTAGAGAATTTTTTATAGTTAAGCAAAGATTCTTTGATGTGTATAGCCAAGAAATCTTTCACAGTATTAAGATGTCTACTAAGGGAAAGTTGTATCAACATATTATAGACCATTTTGGTTTATACAGTATTATTTATCAAAACCCATTAAACATGCATACAAAAAATGTATCACAAGCTTTAGACTGTCTAGTCATAATTTACGAGTTGAAGAAGGTAGATATGTAAATGAAAATAGAAATAACAGAATATGTTTATTATGTGACTTGAATGGTGTAGAAGATGAATTCCATTTTATATTAAAATGTCCTGTATATTATGATCTCAAAATACAATATATCAAGCAGTATTATGTTAAAAAAAACCTAGTGTCTTTAAACTAATACATGCAATTGTTAAGTGTTCAAAATGTCAAAGAAATGTCTAAATTGGGAAGATTTTTGTTCAGCGCTTCACAACGAAGATTAGAACTACTAAATTGTTTGTAGCATATAATATGTATGTAAATACTTAATATATATATATATATATATATATATATATATATATATATATATATATATATATATATATATATATATATATATATATATATATATATATAACTGAAAGATTTGAGTAATTCTATATATGTGTCTCTATAAGTATATTATATACAATGTAGCGAGTGTACTGAAATAAGCATGCATTACTGTACATTTTGTTTATATTAATTGTGTCATACTGTCTGATGTGAAATACATGTATGACATAAGGAAAAGAAACAATTGAATTGATATGGATTTTCGGACCGGTTCTTGATTTGGGATATTGTGACGTCACCCGTATCGCAGAGTGCAGAATCGGTGTATATGATAAACCCTTTTCCATAATTTATCACAACCAGTATCAGCCCGAAACACAAATATCAGCCTGAGGGACGGTGTATTGTAGAATTTCAACGTTACACCGGATGCTCGCTGGCTGATATTGGGTGTCCCGGTCTCGTATGGGGTGAGAAACGGGAATGGATACATATTTGTAATATTCTCTATGTATTTTTTGATAAATATTGTCCCAATAATTTCTGGCAGTTAAATGACCCCCTCCCCTCCTATGCAAAGCAGACATTTTATGACCTTTTAAATTTTAAACAGGGGTGACGTAAGCATCTTACCAGTATGTTATGTTTTGATTTCAGAACGGAATTTATTCTATGATACCGTATCTGGCATTCTGGGTAACGATCATTGTGGCCGGAATATTTGCAGACACGCTCATTTCAAAGGATATTCTTAGTATTAAATGGACAAGAAAACTTTTTTGTGCCATAGGTAAAAAAAAAGAATTGCTATTCAGAAGCTGTCATGTATAATTAAGAAAATATTTGTACAGGTGTACACTTTCAATGTCGATTAATATTTTTCTTTTAATAATGAAAAAAGAGCAATGGAAACATGTAAGAAACATTATGTTCCACTTCAAGGTAGTTCTGCCCTATTATTGTTTTTTTTTTTTCTGTAGGTCAGTTTGTCCCTGCAGCTTTTCTGATTGCTTTGGGTTATATGACGTGTTTCCAACAAGAGGCTGCTATTGCCCTCCTAACGCTGTCTCTGGCATTTTGTGGATTCCAATTTCCGTCCGTTTTCGTCAACCATGGCGACATCGCCCCTAATTATGCGGGTACTATTTTTGGGATCACCAACACTGGAGCTAGTATCCCGGGGATAATCGCCCCATACGTGGTAGCATCTATAACAGTCAATGTAAGTTTTATTTCTCAAGCTTCGTCAAAACTATGCCTGAAAAATTCCTTTCATTTCTATAAACTGTATGAAACACGTTCAACTAAACATGTTTATTGCGATGGACAATTTTCAAGAGTCAAAGAATTAATCGTCGCCTTTTTCTATGTTCTAGACAGTAGGCAAAGTACTAGTATATAGTTGTTTGTTAGTCTATAATTGTGAACAAAGGTAATGTTGCATGTAACTGCATGAAATACATGGATTTGCATATGAACTTGCTTGTCTAGTGATTTCAGAGAGTGTCCTTTCTTGAACACACACACACACACACACACATACACACACACAAAATGAATGAAGAGATTGGTGATCGCCGAATAGGCAGAAATGGATACTTTAAACAACACGGTGGGACGCACCTCCCAGTGGGAAGCGCCATGTCGTTGACATTATAGGGGCAAACCCATTACAAATGTTTATAAACATGTTTTACAAACAAAATAAAGTGTACTTACTATAGTATGTCTCATTTTAGCGAGCTGCATGGACGTCCAAAGCGATCTACTTTGGTCGTTTTCGTCTGGTGTTAGTTATCATGGGCAGAGGATTTTTTTTTAATTACACGAACTGAAATTTAATTATCACCAAATATCCTTTACTTTGATGGTGATTGATAACACGTCATCCAAGGTTATATTTTATGGGTCTCTCTAATGATTTCTGATAATGTTCTCGGGTAATCATATTTAATAGTCGTATCTTGGTGTTGTTTTAGATCATTAATTTAGTTCACTTCTGAGACTGCCAAATGATGTGCCCATTTTATTCCTCCCTGATAAAGACTAATGATTTTTTTTCTTTCCAGAAAACACAGCAAGAGTGGCTTGTAGCTTTCTACATTGCCGCTGTTATCTACTGTTTGGGGGCCATTTTCTTTCTGATTTTCTCGGATGGAGAAGTTCAGGAATGGGCCAAAGATGAAGAGGAAATAGAAATGATTGAAGAAAAAGTTGAGGAACCATTACAGGAAGTAGAAGAAGTCCCAGAAGATGACGATGTCTTTCAGAATTCCACTAAGTAATATACAAATTTGTATCTCTCGTCCTTTACTGATTCAGAATTACGTGAAAATCAGAGTTGTTTTCGTCAAAAACAATTCTTACGTAAATGACACTACAGCCGCCTTGCTTGATCGTGCATATCATGATCAGTTACCTATAATGGTTCATTTACACTATAAGGAAGACTGCTGACTATTGAAATACTGGATGAGATAATCACTCTATATGTATTTCTTTTGAGATTTTACTCAAAATTGAACCGCAAAGGGTTTGTTACAAAGAAATCTTGAATATGATTCGAAGTACTCGTGATGAACTCGTTTGTTACGTATTTCAGTTCATACTTCGATGCGGAGGAATTTAATACTATTAATAGGAGCGCTAGCTAGATAATTCTGTAGACATACAAGGAAACAGTAAGCAATATGTGCATGTATGCAATATGTGCAATGACGACATCACAATCATATTCAAATACAAAATGCTAAATTTACCCAGTGACATGTTCGAAACAGTTATATTGTTTCAACGTCTGTCGTGAACATTTTGCTTTCATGTACTCTTTTTGTTGTTAGGACTTATCCATACATATACGTCACAGGGATTTATCAGCCTATTTTGGGAAACGCCATTTTTGAGGAATTGGGAAAAAATTATCGGCTTCTTGATGAAATTGGAAAAAATTAAAATTGTTCCTTAGATCATTTATTCAGGTGTAATTCATTTAACATTTCAGCATGAACTCTAATTTGGGCAACCAAACAGACAATTAAATATGATCCAACTTCATATTATCAATTATGATCAATTATGAATAATAGACTAATAAAAGTAAAATTGACTTCAATGAGTATAAAGTGTTTGTTCAACTTAGGGTAGTACATATGTGTATGAGATTCCAATTTAAGTCATTATAGAATCTGTTTCTGGAGATTATATATAAACCTCCTGCAAAAATACTAAGTACACATTTTCTCTCAAAGTCCTTTTTTAATATGTATTAATGCATTGAAAATATATTTTTCTATTTGAAATAATGCCTACAGTCCTTACTATTCACTCGTAGATTAAATGAGTAGGTAGAAATAACTTAATAAATCTATATAATTACACAATATCACCATTGTCAGAAAAATGGAGGAAATTCGTTTAAAAGTTGGCGATGTTTTTACAGTGTTTTTTAACACGTGTTATGACTGTAGCTTTGCTAACTGAGTTAAATAGATGAAAATTACAGACACTCTGACAATTTTACTTTGTGTTTTTCCAAGATAATTAGATATAAATGCATTGTTCACCAATTGGGAAAAAATACTGCCAAATTGGGAAAAACTGAACTCATTTTGGGAATGGGGCCGAATTCCGGCCCCTGAGAAGGTACTGATAAATCCCTGCGTCATCACCGTAGTGTCAAACTGCCTCCAGGCACGATAGAAAAAATTGTGTTATATTGTCAAAGACATCACACGTTATCCAATTGTTGTATATGTTGTAAACAGTATATCTTTATCAAATTTATTGATCAACAGGTACCGTGGTTTTTGTCAAATTTGGCATATATCAGAGGAAAGAGATTGTATTTTTTTAATGATCTTTTATGACAGCCACTTGAATACGCCTTTATTAAGATACTAATCTTCCCTTAAAAAGCAATAATAATCATTAAACAAATTTTCATTGTACAATTTATGTCCTCTAATTCAATGAAAAAAAATTCGATGGATCATTTGTAACGGGATGATAAATTGTAGAATACCAGTTTGAAAAAAAAATATATTTAGAGCACAGAACCTGTTTAAAATTTTGAAATGTTTCCGCTCTCAAACTTAACTATACGTGCTTCGATGAAGCGTTAAAATTTTCATCTTGCAAAAACAATGATATCGTTAGCTCATAACTTTGTATAATTTTAGCGATAAGCAATCATAAAAAATCGTGGGTGCTTTTGTTATTACATGTTTGTTAATTCTTTAGAGAAAAATGTCGTCTGCTTTTGTTATCAATCAACTTTTGTGCCGAAAGTTATCCTTAAAAGTAAAATTCTATTTGTTTACTGTGTGTTCTTTTTTTTTGTTCTACATGAATGTGAATGAGAAGACTATGAAATGATGTGATGGATGGCAATAGAGGAGCATGATAAAAACAAACACGTCATTTTACCGTGCTTATCGAATTCAGAGGCGCAAGGAATTTATCAGAAATAATTTTGACATGTTTTATTAGTCATTTCCTCGGAGACAGAATTAATCTATATTTATGGCAAACAGTCATTTTGTGTTTGTTTAAAGGATGAAGTCTTGCCGCGTATAAATATTCCTGACATTCCCAAAGTATATAACCGAGCACATAAAGAAATGTTTTAGGCTATGACTTTTCTCAATATCACTTCAATATCACTATATTTCAAAAAAGATCTAGAGCTATGAGATATATTGGTATGGTACACTTTAATAAGTGGGGAGGATAGTTCAAGAAAATATTTCACTTGAAGAGACAAGCATCAAATTTGGCAAACGATTCCTTGTCGAGTACTAAATAGGAAATATCGTTGGACTTTCAAGTTTAGGCCATTTTCAAAATGGCCGCTATGGTTTTCAAAATGGCATTTTTCTCATATTGTATACATGTATCAGGTATTTTTTAAAATTCATTTGCTTATTTTAAAAGTATTTCAAATACTCAATTAGAATTCAGTCCAGCATATGATTAAAGAGTTGTATTACGTATGTCTGCAGTGCATGAGCATGTACTGCAGTACGGGTTGTTGCTGTTTTATAGTATTCAAAAGACCCAGTCTTCAGAAGAGTTTCAGCTGCTTAGAGCAGTACAAGCCTACAAGGTAATAATTACCGCACTAAAACATGTATACAGATCTGTTGATTTGCTCAAAATAGATCAGCCCTTCAGAGGAGAAATATCACTAATTAAGGGTAAAGATATAAAGACAGCAACATTTACTAATAACCTTGCAGGACCAGATTGCATACAGCGTATTTATCATGCTGACGATTTTGACTGGAATTTGTAATGTAAGAGTTCCTTAAACTTACTCTATTGATGATATCAAACACTTTTTCAAAGTCATTGAAGTTGATGTAAAGTGATGATTGTCATTAAAAGATTGCTCTATAATATTACTAATACTTAGTGATCGATCTAAATCTGGCTTGTTCACCTCTCAATATTTTGTTTATTACTTCTTTATTCTATTCCTGATGACACTGTTTAGAATCTTGCTTGCAACACATAGCAATGTGGTGTCTCTTCATTTTTGCACAGATTATCATCTCTTTTTTTTTTTTGGTACATGTAGTTTGACATTCAGTAATTTCTTTCATTCATTATAGGGATTAATATGCCTGTTTCTCATATTTTGTTCCACAGTCTATATGATCCACTACTTCTTGTCTTCCAGTCCTCAATGCCTCTGGTCTTATATCATTTTTTCTTGCTGGGGATTTTTTATATTCAAAAGATTTAATAGCTACTCACACTTCCTTCTTGTTTCTTCCATTTTTGTATTCAGGTCTTTCCCTGGATAAACTTTTATTTATTCCTCTGGTTTGTCTATTTTGTACTTCGTTTGCAGGTTTTTGAGATCGATCACTGTTCATTATCGTCCCTTTTTTTCATTTGAAATGTTTGTTTCATCTACCTAGCTGCTCCTCTAGCTTCATCAACATTTTTTATCCTATTTTTATCATTTTTTTTTATTTGGCTTTACCAGATCTTCTGTTGCTTAGGATTTTAGAGATGTCCTCTCTAGGTTTCCAGCTCAGCTTGAATGGTAAGCCTATTTACAAAGTCTCGATATGTTTTCTTAATTGCCTGTAATTATGTTTGACTTCTTTGTCTACGACCCGATGTTTCGTTTGTAGCTTCCTTCTTTTCCAACCTTCTTTTGCCTCATATAGCTTATTAGTGACTAACTTTTTTTCCCCTTTGCTTTGTGGTAATGTTTTAGTGACATCTATTCTCTATTTTTTCTTACTTTTACATTTGTATCTTATTTATTCCTAGGATTTCTTCACGAGCTTTTGAAAAAGTCTTGATCATTATCCCATTTATTAACCGATTCTAAACATAGTACTCAATGCGCTTCTGTTCCCTCTTTCTCAGTTTTGTCAGTCATATTTCGATTTGCCAAGTAATACATGGTGGTCTGCATGAGTTTATGCCTGCTCTTCGTTTTACTCTTCCGTGACTGAGGTCCGAGCTGTTGCATCTCTGGTTTATATTTTCAATGACACCCCTGGGTATTCCTCCATAACCTTACACCAAACACCTGTGTTTGTAAACATTTATTTTTGATGTTTACGATTAACCGACTGTGTTCGAAAATTTAAAAAAAAATTTAACATTGGCCATAAGCGTGCCAGGTTTTTCATATTTCACATAAGTATCCTTTTTGTCAAAGCCTTTCCTTGGATACTAACATTTTTTTACCTTTGGGTTTGATCTACTTTCGAAAAACATTAACCTTGCCCATTTGAACATTTGGTGATAGGACTTCCATATTTCACGTGTATTCCTCGTAACAAGACCTTTCTTTAGGTACCAGCATTCTTGATTTACGACCTTAAGGTTAGAGTTCGACCTAAATTTGAAAAACGTGAAAAAATATGCTTCACAAACACATCTTGTTTTTTTAATGTTGTTTTAATTTTTGATTATTTTTTGGTATCATACTCCACTCTGTTCTTCCGTAATTTTTCAAAGATTTTCTTCTGGTGTAATTAGAGATATAAATAGTTTTCACATGACGTATTTTCTCTCCGAGTTATTTCCCTTGGCCGCCATCTTGGTGGTCAACCTGGTAATTTTTCCTCTTTGTCTTACCAAATCTAAGAGGGTGTAGCAGAAATATTTGGGGGAAAATCTTTATAGAATAAAAATTATGAAATAAAGGAGGCTTTAACAAATGTATATTTTTCAGAAAAACAATGCTTCTTACCCCACAATGGCCAGTATAAAAAGTTAAAGTTGGTTGAATAATGAAGGAATATGAGCATGTTGACCTCCAAAATGGCGGCCAACGGGAAATAACTTGCTAATTTGGGCCTACTGAAAACTATCTATTAAGACATAAAGTGTAATACATGTATGTTACAAAGCAGTGGCGTAGTTACCATGTTTGCTTGTATGCTCAAGCATGCACATCATTTTGCCAAAAATAAATAAAAATAAATTGGTAAAACATTCAACAAAACAAGAGGCCCAGGGGCCACATCGCTCACCTGAGCACTGTGGCTAGGAAAAAAGCAAAAATCAGTTTAGTATTGCAATGCTTAAATGCATAAGTGGTCCCGACCTACCCCTAAAAGGGAGGGGAGGTATGATTTGAACAAAATTGAATATACACTAACTAAGGATGCTTACATATTTTTTTTGACTAACTGTGACTTTTTTCCTACAAGTTTAAACTTTCATTGTGACCCTTACTACTGGGGGTCATGATTTGATCAAACTTGAATCTACACTATCTGAGGATGCTTCCATATAAATATGACCAATCATGGCTGTGCTGTTCTAGAGAAGAAGATTTTTTAAGATTTCCCCTATATATTCCTATGTAAAACTTTGATCGTCCATTGTGGCCCCACCCTACCCCGGGGTCATGATTTGATCAAACTTGAATCTACACAACCTGAGAATGCTTCTATATAAATATGACCAATCATAGCTTTGTTGTTCTTGAGAAGATTTTTAAAAATTTTTCTTATATACTCTTATGTAAAACTTTGATCACCCACTGTGACCCCACCCTACCCCCAGAGGTCATGATTTGAACAAACTTGAATCTACACTACCTGAGGATGCTTCCATATAAATATGATCAATCATGGCTATGTTGTTCTTGAGAAGGAGGTTTTTAAAGATTTTCCTTAGGTATTCCTATGTAAAACATTGATTGCCCACTGTGGCCCCACCCTACCCCTGGGGGTCATGATTTGAACAAACTTGAGTCTATGCTACCTGAGGATGCTTCCTTGTAAATATGACCAATCAAAGCTTTGCTGTTCTTGAGAAGAAGGTTTTTAAAGATGCTCCTTGTGTATTCCTATGTAAAACATTGATTGCCCACTGTGGCCCCACCCTACCCCCGGGGGTCATGATTTGAACAAACTTAAATCTACATTACCTGAGGATGCTTCCATATAAATATGACCAATCAAGGCTTTGTTGTTCTTGATAAGAAGATTTTTAAAGATTTTCCCTATGTATTCCTATGTAAAACATTGATTGCCCACTGTGGCCCCACCCTACCCCTGGGGGTCATGATTTGAACAAACTTGAGTCTATGCTACCTGAGGATGCTTCCACATAAGTTTCATATTTTCTAACACATTGGTTCTTGTGAAGAAGATTTTTGAAAGATGCCATAAATTTTTCATGAATTCACAATTATCTCCCCTTGAAAGAAGGCGTGGCACTTCATTTGAACAAACTTGAATCCCCTTCACCCAAGGATACTCTGTGCCAAGTTTGGTTGAAATTGGCCCAGTAGTTCTGGAGAAGAAGATGAAAATGTGAAAAGTTTATAACTAAAACAACGCCAATGCCAATGACAACGACGACAGACAAAGGACAAATTTTGATCGGAAAAGCTAACTTGAGCCTTTGGCTCAGGTGAGCTAAAAATTAAAAGTATTGAGGAGGATGAAAGTAATAAACGTATAAGTACTTTATAAAGTTGAATTTGTATTTTAAACAAGAGGCCCATGGGCCACAGCGCTCACCTGAGTAACTTTGGCCTTGCTGTTTTTCACCTGATATCTCCCCCCCTGTAGTACTTATTGTGGCCCCGCCCTATCCCCAGGGGTCATGATTTGAACAATTGGAATCTACACTACCCCAGGATGCTTCCAAGTAAGTTTCAGCTTATATGGCCCAGTGGTTCTTGAGAAGAAGATTTTTAAAGATTTTTCCTATATATTTCAATGTAAAACTTGGATTCCCTATTGTGGCCCCGCCCTACCCCCGGGGGTCATGATTTGGACAATTTAGTATCTACACTACCCCAGCATGCTTCCACATAAGTTTCAGCTTTTC